GTTGAATTGATTGAAAATTTAAAAAGAAATTAAGATTTATGGCTTTGATTACATGTTCATGTGAAATATATTACAGGTGTGTTGCAGTCAAATGGAAATGAAAGATTCCTCCATACTTACATTTTCCAATGTGTTCATTCTATCATTCACATTTACAAGCTGCGTTGGAATTATTAAATGCACCACTATAAGTATTTGCGTCAAAGATGATTGAAAACTAACGAGTCACATCCGATTCAGAACGATTTAAATATTTAAAATCCGAAGTTGTAAATTACTGTCTCGGCGAATGAATATTCACGTAGTACAAAGTTCAGTTTAAATCAACGTTTAAGAAGACATTGTATTATTTCTTGAAAATAGTACGTTACAATTATACTTCGAACAGTATAGATATTTTGAAGTTTCCACTCACATTTATTGGGATGAACTAGGTATAATCAGTTTCTTCTTATTAATATTGGAGTGCGTAAACCTGGAGTAAGTAATTTTTTCCCGCAGAATTTATACTTTCTCTCACTTTCTGAACACCGTGCCATTTCTCGAAATACAGTAGGGCAAAGTAGCTTCATCTACGTACTTGCTCTATTTTTCACCCTCTTAACACTGTTTTTCACACAGTAGAAAAAATGTCTACAATTAAGCAGAAGAATCATTATTCATCGTCGTTTGAGAATCACAGTTTATGCTTTTCCCTCATCGCACCTTTAAACTTTTCGAATATTGTTGCCACTCGACAATTCTCGAAATAATTCTGCCAACGGCAAAGAGTTTTTCCAATCTCCTTTTGACGCGTCATTTTTATCTTCAGTTACTCTGAAAGTTTACCCTGTGCATTCAGGGATCGACGTTACCTACATTTATTTTTAAACGATATTTATCCCAGTTAAAAATTTTTTTTTACCCACTCACACAGTGTCAATAATGATGCATACTGATGTCAGAAGTTACACAGCTTCGGATTTGCTTCTCTTGTTAAATACATGGAAATTAGGATTGCGTAACCTTCTTTTGAAATGAATCTGACTGTGTCTACTGGCGCACACGTTGCAAATTTATTAGATGTTGAAATATCGAAATATTGTGGAAAATTTATCGTCATTGCCCTTTCTGTGCTCCCATTTATTTTCTATTAGCTTTATTTATATGTATCCCATAATATATAATTATTTCACTTCCTCATTTATTTTAAAATTACAATTTCCTATATTCTCCGTGTATTATACTAAAAATAACGAGACTATAATTGAAGCAAAAGTTGTTGATTTATTGA